CCACCTCTAGGAAGACATACACTATCTCCACGGCTACCCACCTCTAGGAAGACATGCACTATCTCCACTGCTACCCACCTCTAGGAAGACATACACTATCTCCACGGCTACCCACCTCTAGGAAGACATGCACTATCTTCACTGCTACCCACCTCTAGGAAGACATGCACTATCTCCACTGCTACCCCCTTCTAGGAAGACATACACTATCTCCACTGCTACCCACCTCTAGGAAGACATACACTATCTCCACAGCTACCCACCTCTAGGAAGACATACACTATCTCCACTGCTACCCACTTCTAGGAAGACATACACTATCTCCACTGCTACCCACCTCTAGGAAGACATGCACTATCTCCACTGCTAACCACCTCTAGGAAGACATACACTATCTCCACGGCTACCCACCTCTAGGAAGACATGCACTATCTCCACAGCTACCCACCTCTAGGAAGACATACACTATCTCCACTGCTACCCACCTCTAGGAAGACATGCACTATCTCCACTGCTAACCACCTCTAGGAAGACATACACTATCTCCACTGCTACCCACCTCTAGGAAGACATGCACTATCTCCACTGCTACCCACCTCTAGGAAGACATACACTATCTCCACTGCTACCCACCTCTAGGAAGACATGCACTATCTCCACTGCTACCCACCTCTAGGAAGACATACACTATCTCCACGGCTACCCACCTCTAGGAAGACATACACTATCTCCACGGCTACCCACCTCTAGGAAGACATACACTATCTCCACGGCTACCCACCTCTAGGAAGACATACACTATCTCCACGGCTACCCACCTCTAGGAAGACATGCACTATCTCCACTGCTACCCACCTCTAGGAAGACATGCACTATCTCCACTGCTACACCTCTTAGGAAGACATGCACTATCTCCACTGCACTCCACTGCTACCCACCTCTAGGAAGACATGCACTATCTCCACTGCTACCCACCTTTAGGAAGACATGCACTATCTCCACTGCTATCCACCTCTAGGAAGAGATACACTATCTCCACGGCTACCCACCTCTAGGAAGACGTGCACTATCTCCACTGCTACCCACCTCTAGGAAGACGTGCACTATCTCCACTGCTACCCACCTCTAAAAAGACTTACACTATCTCCACTGCTACCCACCTCTAGGAAGACGTGCACTATCTCCACTGCTACCCACCTCTAGGAAGACACACACTATCTCCACTGCTACCCACCTCTAGGAAGACATGCACTATCTCCACTGCTACCCACCTCTAGGAAGACACACACTATCTCCACTGCTACCCACCTCTAGGAAGACACACACTATCTCCACTGCTACCCACCTCTAAAAAGACTTACATTATCTAGTCTGCTTCTTACTTCTAAATTTCAATGCATAGATAATCCATGTTTATTGACGAGACCTAAACACTGAAGTTAGAGGGATTATGTAAATGATGGTGGGATAAATCTTATGTCCAAATGATGGTCGTTTGGTCGACCCTGATGACCCAGTACATCACACAGCACTGCACATGATGTCCTCTACACCACAATGACCCGACAATCCATACATGAAGGATATGTCTGTACCGATTAGCGAGTTTTACCAATTTTATTAGACTTATACGGATTGATTTCTTTGAAATCAAGCGAAAATTGATCTCTACATAGAGACTGCGTACGTGGTATAATGTACCTAATATGTCAGACGGTCACGTGCCCAGAACTTCCATATAAAGATGTTTAACATCCCCGATCGATATTTTGAGAAATTAGAAAGGAGACTACATAGTTAAAACACGTATAAAGAATCATTGGTTGCTTAAATATAGACCACCGTTTGATGTCAGCTGTTTTCCCTGATCACAAGCCAGTCCTTGCAGCATACACACGCACGCACAAAATGGGGAGAAAGGTATCATGCAATACCCCTATGGCTGACATGAAATATATATAATATCCAATCTCGGCAAACAAAACAAAAAATATAAATACCATGTTACGAAAGATTTGCTAAAAAACATATATTGGATCCAGATCAAACAAATCAACAACATGTATGTTCTCGTCCTATCACCCGACCAGGGACAGTGATACCTACCTCCAGACTAGTGACAACGATATCTACCTCCAGACCAGTGACAGTGATACCTACCTCCAGACCAGGGACAGTGATACATACCTCCAGACCAGGGACAGTGATACCTACCTCCAGACCAGGGACAGTGATACCTACATCCAGACCAGGGACGGTATCCAGACCAGGGACAGTGATACCTACCTCCAGACCAGGGACAGTGATACCTACCTCCAGACCGGTGACAGTGATACCAGTGATATCTACCATAAAGACAATAACCAGACCAGCGACAAAATGGTGGAGACCAGCAGCTACGCTGATGTTATACCACTTTTGTTACACTGATATAAGAAGCAGATTACATCAGACACAGTGTAGATTGTTTTCTTTATTTGTCTGACAGAGATTTACGCATTATCTAAAGACAGACATGGTATCGAATGTTAGGATGAACTCTAGGGACTTAAACTCAGTATAATGGATAAAGTGTTTCGCGGTTCTATTAGACGATGACGTTTTCCTGTCAGACAAGGTCCGTTACTCTTGCTTTTTGTGCATCAACCCAACATTCTGTCTGATTCAGCAATTTCATGAAAGGTACATGATCAAATTAAGTAATGGTACACACGATGTGACATTTGATGGTGTAGTTACGACGCCGAACCATTCCGTTGGTAATAAGTGTATTTCCGAGTCTGTCTCTTCATCATTGGTGACAATGATAGGTTCCTAACGCGATAAGACCACTAGACAAGCCGGGCGTGGCATGGATAATATCAACAAACTGGGTTTCACTCGTCATTATCTGGTCCCAAGAAACCAAATTAAACGTCTTAATAAAAAAAATACAACATCAGCTTAGCTACACATAGAGACATGGATAAACATCTACACGGCCTCATCTTCATATTAACAGGAAGCTTTGATTTTTCATGACTTTTTAGCGGCACGCTGACGACAGTTGGAATAGATTCTGTGAGGGTTGGTTTACATGTAGTAAGTAGTATTCTAGCAGTTGTTCATTTTTATATGAACCACGTAAAGAGAATGATCTCTTCTCAGTACAAAGTACTGTTCATATAAGGAAATTGTTGAAGTGTTGGACACGTTATGACTAGAGAAACAAAATAAAATGTCTGTGTTGACATGTACACGCAAGAACAGGCGCCAACTTTACACGTTTTAACCTTCAAACTTAACATAAAGACGAAAATAAAATGGTTAAATGTTAACAATGATATAAAATGTAGAGAGCTAGTGTTAAACAAGGAAATACCAACATGTCAGCATAATAATAATTCAAACTGAAATTCAACGAGATATCCTAGAGGGATACTGGCACTCACCATGGTTTGATCTTAATTTGTTCTTTGAATGTTGGACCTTTTCCCTTCTCTTCTCTTCTCTGTTTTTGCTCTTAATGAAAGGATATTTGAACATTAATCCTTTGCAGAAATAGCGATAACTAGAACTGTCGCCAGGATGGCTGACTAATACCCCCAGTCCCCAATAGGGATAGTCCCAAGAAGACTCCTTCAAGAGGTCTTCACTATGTCACCATGGCAACCAAATGGAAACATTTTCCCCGCAAATGTGTTGAGCAATGTAGGCATTTTACTGACAATAATCGTTTCCTTTTTAACTTATGAGCCGATCAATAACAAAAGCAATTAATATGCGAAAAACTACTTTCTGGTGTTTTCAACGTTAAAACACCACGAACATTACTGTGATGATGTTGTTATACATAACGCCGCGGTCCCGCATTGTACAGACATAACGCCGCGGTCCCGAATTGTACAGAACATAACGCCGCGGTCCCGAATTGTACAGAACATAATGCTGAGATCAGCAGTGATACATAACGCCGCTGTCCCGAATTGTACATAACATAATGCCGAGATTAGTAGTGATACATAACGCCGCTGTCCCGAATTGTACAGAACATAATGCTGAGATCAGTAGATACAGAACATAACGCCGAGATCAGCAGTGATACAGAACATAACGCCGAGATCAGCAGTGATACAGAACATAATGCTGAGGTCAGCAATTGTACAGAACATAACGCTTATGTCAGCAGTGTTACAGAACATAATGTCGAGATCAGCAGTGATACAGAACATAACGCCTAGATCAGAAGTGATATAGAACATAACGCCGCGGTCCCGAATTGTACAGAACATAACGCCGAGATCAGCAGTGATACAGAACATAACGCTGAGATCAGTAGTGATACAGAACATAACGCCGCGGTCCCGAATTGTACAGAACATAACGCCGAGATCAGCAGTGATACAGAACATAATGCTGAGGTCAGTAGTGATACAGAACATAATGCTGAGATCAGAAGTGATACAGAACATAGTGCTGAGGTCAGCAGTGATACAGAACATAGTGCTGAGGTCAGCAGTGATACAGAACATAATGCTGAGATCAGCAGTGATACAGAACATAATGCTGAGATCAGCAGTGATACAGAACATAATGCTGAGGTCAGCAGTGTTACAGAACATAATGCTGAGATCAGCAGTGATACAGAACATAATGCTGAGGTCAGCAGTGTTACAGAACATAATGCTGTGGTCAGAAGTGATACAGAACATAATGCTGAGGTTAGCAGTGATACAGAACATAATGCTGAGGTTAGCAGTGATACAGAACATAGCGCTGTGGTCAGAAGTGATACAGAACATAACGCTTATGTCAGCAGTGATACAGAACATAATGCTGAGGTCAGCAATTGTACAGAACATAACGCTTATGTCAGCAGTGCTACTGAACATGCAAAGGTCAGTCATGAAGATAAGCAGTCAGCATCACACAGAACATAACTCTGAGGTCAGCCATGATACAGAACATAATGCCGAGAACGTCAGCATGATACATGCCAAGGTCAGCCATAACAGAACACCATGCAATGGTCAATCAATTGTACAGAACATAACGCTGAGTTCAGCATTGATACAGAACACCATGCCAAGGTCAGCCATGATACAGAACGGCCAAAATCAGCCATGATACAGAACACCATGCCAAGGTCAGCCATGGTACAGAACACCATGCAAAGGTCAGTCATGAAGTAGAATGTAACACCGAGGTCAGCCATCACACAGAACATAACTCCAAGGTCAGCCATGGTACAGAACACCATGCAAAGGTCAATCATGAAGTAGAAAGTAACGCCGAGGTCAGCCATCACACAGAACATAACACAAAGATCAGTCATCACACATAATACAACGCCGGAGCCAATAATGATACCGAGCATAACGCGAAGGACAATAGTACGGGGCACACTTTCTATATCAACGATGACACAGAACACAAAGCCGGTAGAATGATACAGAACAGAGGTTTAGGAGGGGGTCTAGAGACGTCCAATACCATATAACGAAACATTTCCATATATAGATATACAACTCCGTGTCTATTGTTCCGTTGCGTTGGCGGTGATCGGACTTGTAACCTATCGCAGTGTAATGAACATGATTAATATCGTGTTAGTTACTATATGTGTTTAAGTGTTGGTCAGTACCAAACAATCATATTGACATATTGGACAATAGTCATTAATCCCCTCAATAATGACAGTTTGACTCAGCCAACACAGGAAAACTATGTCCATAGCATCATATAGTAAACAACGAAATCTGTTCAATTGCCGACTGTCCTACAAATACCCTTACAATGTAACTTAACGGGCCAGTCTTCAGTGACCTATGCTGTGACATTATAAACAGCTATTAAATTTTCATTAACATAAATAGTATGTCTGCTCCTCTACGAGAGTCTAGCACTAACCAAATACTAGCCCCGGGGGAGATGTGTTGTAGTAATCCATCTGTTGAAGGTCCCGTCAGTGCGCGGGCCTTTGTGTCAAGCACGCGCGCACATTGAGGTCGTGACTAATCACTAGGTCGATAACGGACAATGAATCACATTTCCGGAATACCCACTCGTGCTGCTTAAAAAACAAAAGGGTTGTGTGTTTACTACGCAAAACGCCAACTTTGACTTGTTAAGTTTTAGCTAAGGCATAATAAAAATCAATAGTCTTTGATGATCTGTCTTCTCCAATGTTCCCATGTGTTTCATTATGGGAATGAAGATGGAATCACAGCCTTAACAAGCAGATACAATACTGATCTTTGGATATAACTGCTACCGTGTTTATGGCATGTAAATGGGACATACATGTCTGTTTGATATTTTCCATTGAGATAATGGATAAGTCATGGTTGAAGTGATATCGATATTTACACCTGTAAAATGTCGATAACCATGATCCCTTAGTGTTTATTGAGGGTTTTGTCATTCTATGTTCATTTGAAACAATAATTTGATAATGGTGATAAAATGTTCGTTATACGCGACCTACAAAATACGATAGAAGGGAGCTAACTCGCTAAGATGAAACTCGCCATATCGGATATGTGTGATCGCGTGGCAGGGTAAAGGCTGAACTTCATCATTATGATGGTCGGATGACGCAGGATAACACATCTGCCTTTATGTCCGAGGCCACGTCGATCCCCCAACCCCATCCCCGAGTACTCCATTTTCCTCCTACAGCACAATACCCTCACGCGCTTAAATTTGGACCAATTTGAGTGACTATTATAATATGGAATGACTTATTTCGCAGTGATTGTAAAAGTAAAAAGAAATTGGTTTCAACAACTTGTTCGTCTTTCGAGAATTCGTCTGTGATACTAAGTGTCTAGATTGCTACCAAGGAGGCGAATGAGGAAGATCCAAACTGATCGAAATCAACATGAAAAACTAAAAATCTAGACATTAATCCCAAATTACATAGATATCGTCATTTTTTATATCTAATGAGTCAACAGAACTGTACCTCTATTCGAATACATATTCTATACAAATCACAGTTCTATATATCTGCAATCTGACTGATATATTTGTATCTGTAAATGAGCTGTTAAGAAATTATCACTGAATGATAGGGAGAACTGTACCATTTTTACCCGCCACCCCCTCCCCTCCCCCACCCCCCAAATATTATATGATGGGTCAAAAAATAACCAATAAGATGCAAGCTATCAAACTATATTGATTTAAACTTTGAATTCGGGTTTTCCTGTTACCAGATAAACTAATCAATGTCGAGGGAGGGGAGGCAACCACTATATATCAACATGTAAATCCCAGTGCATTACTGCAATTGTCTCCCCTTCCCTGGCGATTTAGTTGCGTTATGATAGGAGCTGGAAAAAATACTTTTTCATCTTTTCTCTTGATGATCTTATTTGTTGTTTGAAAAGAATGGGCATTAAGATTATGTGTTTACTCATTGAAATCATCATGTTTGGTAGACGTTTTACATTAATTATGTATTTACAAATAAATGAGAACAAAATAACAAATACATGTTTTAAAACCCTATAGTTATCTACCCATTTTACAGTATATTCAAATAAAAAACGGACCAGCGATACTCTGGTTTCTCTTCAAACCACGCATAAATCTTTCGCCTTTTACTAAAGATTTCCGTGGAGAGGAACATTTAATGAGTCTATAGACTATTTTTTCGACCCTGTTTTCACAGGGTAACAATTAGCGAATGTCAGAATGGGAAACTGTGATACTGAATAACTACAGAACTGCTCTCAATGAGCCATTGTTTCGCATACTTCATCATTTTATTGATACAGACAGACCCAACCATTAATAACAGCTCTCAATGAGCCATTGTTTCGCATACTTCATCATTTTATTGATACAGACAGACCCAATCATTAATAACAATTGAGAAACTTTTCTTTCGGTGATCCATCATAATGTGGATATGTAAAGGCACGTTTTAACCTCCAAACTTATCATAAAGACGAAAATTAAATAGTTAAATGTCAACAATGATATAAAATGTAGAGAGCTAGTGTTAAAAAAACAACAAGGAAATACCAACATATCAGCATAATAATAATTCAAACTGAAATTCAAGAGGAAATCGCCATTGTTTTATCTTAATTTGTTCCGTTCTCTTCTGTTTTAGCTCTTGATGATAAGATATGTGAATATCAATCCTTTGCACAAATAGCGATAAGTAGAACTATCGCCAGGATGGCTGACTAATACCCGCTCCTCAATCCCCAAATCCGCAGTAGTTTTGGAGGGATTGTCCCAACAAGATTCATTTAAGAGGGCTTCACTTGGTCACCATGGCAACTGAAAATGATATCATTATATTTGTCAACCATCTAAAACTTTTTATACTAATTCTCAACTTAATCAGATAGTATTTTAATTTCGACCAACCAGAAGTCTCCAGGGTGGTAATGATTTTGAAACACCTAATATGTCAAATTATAGGCGGTAATTAGCGGTAGCATTCGATCGACTATGAACAAAAGAATAATATACACGAATACGGGTGAAAAAAGTACAAGAAGAATAAGACTGTATTCCAAACGCGTCTTATACGTTATCAACCCACCATGTACATCTCCAATGAAGAAATGCCATGTCCTCACGATAGATTCTTACACGAAAATCATGATAATGGGCACACGCACTTGCATGGGTGCCAAACTAAACGTACACTTTCATTCTCTGGTTAGGGGTGCGACGAATACTTTTTATATTTGCCCTCGTTTGGTCTGTTCACGGACTAAAATAAGTCCATTCTTGAAATGACATATTCACTTGATTATGGATTCCAATGGATTATTACTCATTAAGTCACCAGCACATCAGATCAGGGACGTGAATATCAGTAGCAGTAATGATAGTGGTTTTCTTGCTATTTCGGAAACCCTCATTTTCCTTCGGAAGTCGAACGGAAAATAGCGGGAAACTTGCAAATGTCAGCTGTTTTAGTTGGTGCGTTACCTCCAAGGTAAGAAAGTACTGTGTATGATATCATTTGGGACTCAATACATAACGTGAATCGCTACAGTATTTGGAATCAAAAGGGCTTTAAAATTGTGTACTGTATACAGACCTGCAATGTTACAGTAGTCGGCTTCAACGATATTAATTTAGAGGTTTACATGGGAACCGAGAAATTTATGACAGACGTTTAAAAAAGGTTTCACTAAGTAGATCTACTGAGATCAATACCCAGATTCCCCTGAAAGCTTACATTATTGTACATGTAGAGCTCGTTATCATCCCCAAAACACAGGCATATCCATTCCTTTCAATTGTCACCCAAACTTTCCCGTTGGCATCACAATTCCATCCTTTATTGCTTAGAAGATCTCTATATCCTATCCCGTTATGACAGATGTATCCAATGTCTTTTTTCTCTTCCCTTTTATTGTATTATTTCTGTCCTGAACATCCCATCCTGGGGAACACTCCATTGTCTGTTGAGTGGGAGGATCCCATCCTTTTGGCATTCCTTTTTAGTTTTATTGATTTACATTAAAATCTGTTAAGAGTTGTTTGGGTGTATGTGTCTAGTGATAACCTTGAGATGCACTGTCTTAAATTATGTACTAATTGCCCTAAAAAGGGGACTTTGTCCTGAACTAGGTATTAATTTTGTCTTGAACTAGGTACTAATTTTGATCTAAATAGGGGATTTCTTTTGTCCTAAAATAGGAACTAGTTTTTCCTAAACTGGGGAATAATTTGTCTTAAACTAAGGAATACATTTGTCCTGAATGAGAGTCTAATATGTTTTAAACTGGGAAGTACTTTGGCCTAACCAAGGTACTAATTTTTTCCTCAATTGCAGGATACTTTTGTCCTAAACTATGGACAAATTTTTCCTAATCCGGGAAGTAGGTTTCTCCTAAACTGGGAAACACTTTGTTCTAAACGAGGCACTTAGTTGTCATTACAGACGTGGTTTACTGTATGTGCTGATGTTACAATAAAGACAGCTGGATGAAGTAGAGTTCTTAATGTGTATGTGGTGTAAATAACCAGGTTATAATTTTAAATTTGTTTTTGTAATGAATCTTGTGATATTATCCTCTTACAGGTTCCACCGCCCACAAATCAGCAGTTTGTACAGAAGAGTTGGGTCTCTGACCATAATTACCTCCAGTAGGATGCCAAAAACAACCAAATCAAGGTTAAAAGCGTCCAGATACAGTCCTAAAGATGTCAAAATGAATCAAAAGACAGGACAGGGCTCAGTCACCAGCACCAAAACAGGGTGAGACAACTGTGTATCCAGATAAAAAGAGATTGATGTTATGGATACTAATGCTGCTGTTATTGTCTCCCCTGAATTGATCAGCACAATCTCAAAAAAAAAAAAAATAAAACAACTTCTAGGCAAACGGCTGATTGAAGGATATCATTTAGCAATACCTTGTTATCAGTTAAAAGCAAACTAAATAAAATTAAATGACAAAAATAGAAATTAATTATTGGAGCTTGCGTCTGAATTTTAGATGGGACCATTACTAGTAACTAATAAGTGTCCAAAGAGATATCATCAAAACAGCAGATCTCAGATTAGCCGTAAGATGTCCATATCCGACTACATAGTGCATTTACTGGGATTTTAAAATACGTCATCTGACTGTCATACATTAACTGTTTATTTTAAGATTTAATACATATAGTGCTAGGTGAATATAAGTGAGTATTTACATTTCAGAAGACAAGAGCCCACTACTGACACTATATCTGTTCTAATAGATAGTCTGGAGACCAGATTTGCAGCAAATCAAAACAGTCAGTATGCTGCTGTAATAAAACAGTACATGAGGGGCAAGTTTGAATTCTATGGTATCAAAGCACCAGAATTGAAAAGCATTGTTAAGGATGTAAGTATTCTGTAGTCTGACATGTAGTAGTGTATGATAGGTCAACGTATTGGTGTATTGTGATAACTTTGCTCTAAATACAAATAGGTTGATAGCTTATTTTCAATCTGATTACTGTCACTATAATTTTTTCAGCTATCGATAGTTAATGATAGTTTCTTTTTAATTAAACAAAAATGTTAATTGAAAACAAGATTTTTCAACCAGTTATTAGCAAAGACTGTATGCCTTCATTTATTTATGAAAACGTCTTTGGGACCTCGATCAGCGGTAGTGATAAATACAGGAATGACACAATCACCAACTTATAATCACAATAGAATTGTAAGCACCAGCTGTTTCATCGACGAGAGTTTATATCATGAATAAATGTTATATTGTTATTGTTCCGATACGGTTCACCTAGTAATTCAATTTTCAAATATGGTGTTCCCTTGTTTTAGACCCATCCTTGAAATGACTAATTCGATAAACAACATGGCAGAATGTAGTAGCATATTTCAAACTGTTCCTGATAAAAAGGCAAAAACAGGGGAAGGGCAGCATTTTGGTTGCGTGAAAATTATACTACCTTTACTAGGTTTATATTTGTTTCGACATGGCTTTGCTGATGATGTATGAAATGTGTCAAACTTACAGACAAAACGAAATAATTATGTCATTCTTAAATTAGTTAATCATCTTGGAAAACATACGGCAAGTTTAAAATAAAGAGGAAATTACACGAAATTTATATGAAAATGATATTGTGAATCTTTAGTTCGGCTGGGTATCAGTTTTACAACAAATATCACGGAATAGCACGATTATTTATAAAATTAATAATATGAAAATATAGCAAAGTTCAATGAATATCACTGTGCAACATACTTAATTTGTATGAAAGTTAAAAAAGAATTCAGCTATATCATTTTTAAATTGAGCATTCTTCTAATTTAATTGGACCGATAACATATATTTTTAAAAGTAAAAAAAAAACTATTGTGAAATTATTGCAACAAGATCGCAATAGTAATTTTACTATCGCAATATATCATTACAGTTTTTTAGCCTCAATAGCCACCCCCTACTGATATGACATAAAAATACCTGTAATGATAAGTGTCAGTATCTCTGATAAAGATAAGGACATCTAGTGTATTACATGTAGAATTGCTTTCTTGTCCAGTCCTTAGGAAGTGGTCACATTCTCCCCTCCCAAAAAAATCTTAATGTACTTTGACAGTTTCATGGGGTTATGATGACAATAGCCACCCCCTACTGATATGACATAAAAATACCTGTAATGATAAGTGTCAGTATCTCTGATAAAGATAAGGACATCTAGTGTATTACATGTAGAATGAGGAAGTGCTTTCTTGTCCAGTCCTTAGGAAGTGGTCACATTCTCCCCTCCCAAAAAAATCTTAATGTACTTTGACAGTTTCATGGGGTTATGATGACAATAGCCACCCCCTACTGATATGACATAAATACCTGTAATGATAAGTGTCAGTATCTCTGATAAAGATAAGGACATCTAGTGTATTACATGAGAATGAGGAAGTTTTTTTTCCCCTCCCAAAAAAATCTTAATGTACTTTGACAGTTTCATGGGGTTATGATGACATTTAAAAGTTTTTTTTATTCATGTATTGATTTTTTTTTCTTTTTTTGTCAATCATAATTTATTTCTTATACAGATTCTCTAAACAGTTGGGCTACCTGATTGCTAGTAATTGATCCTGGCCAGTGTCTCTACAATGATATCAGCATCATGATATTTCAATGAACGGTTAGCCTATTGTCAGTATAACGTGACTGGATGTTGCATACTCAGCACTAGTTCCACACTGTAACATCGAGGGATACACAAACATCTCACATTCACAAAAAAAAAAAAACACTGCATCTCATGGCATACAAACCGAGTCTGTCCTTAAATGACCATAGGATCAGTAGGATGTTAAGCAATATATGAAAACACATAGCTACATTAAAATACTATAATTTTATTGGCAGAGTCCAGTCCAGTTCAGCAGCAATGCTATCAATGATGATTTGTAGAATCACTCTAGTGAAATTAAAAAGTGACAAACCAGATAATGACTTGTATAATAGATATAGTGCTTCAGACCCTTTAAGTTTTAGAATGATAAATGCTGTAGTTCACACTATTAATAGACCTACTGATTTTGTTAAATTAATTGACAGGTGCTGGATACACACCCCAAATTGACCACTGACCAAGTACTTGAATTCCTATGGAGAGCTTGGCAGCAACCAAACCGAGAATTCCAGACCATGGCCACAAATTATGCCATGAACAACATAAACATTCTGATTGGTTCAGACTTGAAGAATTGTAGGCATTGTCTAGATACCATACAGAAACTCATCACCCACAAGAGTTGGTGGGACACTGTAGATATGCTAGCATGCAATGGTAAACTTTATATCATTTACAATAAAAATGAAACAAGTTTTACACCAAGTTTTCCTTGATCTGTTATCTATTTGTTCACTACTTGTCAGTTAACCTTAGGTTATGGTTTGGGTTGAAGTTTTGTACTTTTTGTCAGGTGTCACTCTGATGATATTGTGTTTTATGTAGTTACTTTCTTGTCATTCAGTTATTGGTCCAATGGTTGCCAGACACCCTTATGAACTAAGTCTTGTGATGGACAGATGGGTGGAAGACAACAACATGTGGTTGAGGAGGACAGCGATACTTCATCAGCTGAAATATAAGGACAAAACTGATTCACAGAAACTCTTCAGGTAAGCAAATTAATCAACTGGTTTGGTAAGCATTTGCAGTGTCTTCACTTAGGCCTCCATGTAATGATTCTGAACCCTTCTGGCCACCTGAGGTATTCCTTGTTATAATGGATTGCATTACTTAGTATGTTAACTCACTGGCCCAGATTACTTAGTATATTAACTCATTGGCCCAGATTACTTAGTAAATTAACTCACTGACCGAGATTACTTAGTATATTAACTCACTGGCCCAGATTACTTAATACATTAACTCACTGGCCCAGAGGGTTAAAACATGAGGTGATACAGCTGCTGTAGCATCCATTGTTTGTTACTTTTCCTGTCATATAGCATATATCCAGAATGGCCAACTAATGGTATTATCAATGACCTGGTCTAGTTCAATTTTGAATCACTCTGCAGATATAGCAAAAAAAAAACAACACTATTATTTCCATTGTGTGTGTAACAGTCGTCATTATTATTCATTGCCTCTGCTAGGAATCGAACCCAGGACCCCTGGCTTGCTAGCCTTACACTCAACTGAGCTAAAGAGAAGTTCTCTCTAGCCTGGAGTTTCCAGGGGTTACAGCGGTACTTGTGAAAGTAATGCAAAGTAATATTCCGGAGTCCCTACATTAGGCCTCCATTAGGGATCAAACCCAGAACCCCTGGCTCAGCCTGACGCCCAGCCGATTTAGCTAAAGAGAAATTCTCTTGAGCTGAATGGTATTTTGCGGCTAGTTTTTCACCAGGGATACATATGATTCAAAAGAGGTGACTAAATGTGGATCTGATCTTTTCTCTTCTTTCAAAGGCATATTATGCACTTGCCATTTTATTTTAATATCTTGAAAGCCTCTCAATAGAATTTGTTTATATATACTCCTTGTTATATCATCTTACACCTTAGTCAATATCAGCTCTACACTAGGAGGCTTACATAAATATATCACAGCTTCCTGAAAACACTTAACTTATGCATCCATCTCTCATATGTAGGGAAGCCAGTCCTACAATTACAGATGTTGAAAGGATATTAAGAAACAAAAAAGCAATTTTTAACCAAAACCAATTATGAATGTGAATTGTATCCAAAAATCTATTGTGCAATTGACACTTGAAATTTTTCATGTGAATGTTTGGCCACCATTTTCCATATGATTTGATATGACAAAATGTTTGTGTGAACTTTCACAAAATTTCTGATCACATATCCTCACATGATCAATACAAGTAGAATAAATTCACTGCTGTTTTCTGTGAGAAATCAGGTGGTTTCAGAAACTCTTCAGTTGAAAACTAATACCAATATAATAACATCCTGAATCAGGAAATAGCCTTTGTAGATGATTATCATATAAGTTACCCTGTTATCAGTGTAATAGCAATAACATTTGTAGTAATGATATTATATGGTCTTTGTAGTAATAATATTATGTGGTCTTTATAGTAATAATATTATGTGGTCTTTGTAGTAATAATATTATGTGGTCTTTATATAAATAATATTATGTAATAATATTATATAAATAACATTATATGGTCTTTGTAGTAATAACGTTATATGGTCTTTGTAGTAATAATATTATGTGGTCTTTGTAGTAATAATATTATATGGTCTTTGTAGTAATAACGTTATATGGTCTTTGTAGTAATAATATTATGTGGTCTTTGTAGTAATAATATTATGTGGTCTTTGTAGTAATAATATTATGTGGTCTTTATATAAATAATATTATGTGGTCTTTGTAGTAATAACATTATGTGGTCTTTATAGTAATAACATTATATGGTCTTTGTAGTAATAATATTATGTGGTCTTTATAGTAATAATATTATGTGGTCTTTATAGTAATAATATTATGTGGTCTTTATAGTAATAATATTATATAGTCTTTATAGTAATAATATTATATGGTCTTTATAGTAGTATATAATATTATGTGGTCTTTGTAGTAATAACGTTATATGGTCTTTGTAGTAATAATATTATGTGGTCTTTGTAGTAATAACATTATATGGTCTTTGTAGTAATAATATTATGTGGTCTTTGTAGTAATAATATTATGTGGTCTTTATAGTAATAATATTATGTGGTCTTTATAGTAATAATATTATGTGGTCTTTATAGTAATAATATTATGTGGTCTAGCTGTGATTTGAAGATGGCTCCTATTCTTTTCATGGTAATCTCCAAACTTCATTAAGTCATATGCATTGTCACTACAGAAACACTGAGCAGGATAATCATTGCTTTAAATTTTGTATCAGTATGGTAAAATACTGTTTTCACAAATATTTACAAAAGCATTCATGTAATGTGATAAAGAGTATCAGATGCTCAGTAAGATAAAAACTTGTAAGACATGTTTCATCGACTGTAGATGAATGAAAATTCCTGTAAGATCCTTTCCTATTCAGGATTATGTCATGTTGTGTTCCACAGGTATTGTCTGTTACGGAGCGAAGAAAAGGAGTTCTTTATCCAGAAAGCTATTGGCTGGGCACTAAGAGAATATGGTAAAACAAACAAGAAGGATGTGAAAGAGTTTGTGATGAAAAATAAAGAAGCTTTATCTAACCTCAGTGTCCGAGAGGCACTGAAACATATTAAGTAAAAGGATGGAAACAATGTTATGTATAACACAAGATTTGTACACTAACATTAAGTGTTCCCAAGCTAAGGCATTGAATAGAACAAAATATCATCCTATCTCGGAATCAAATAGAAAGAAAATTCCATCATAAAGGACTAAAAGAGCCTGCTGTTCATTGACAGATGTGATAAACAATGCATGATATTTATACACATTCACATTTTACATGGCTGATAGTGTCAGCGGGCCATAGTGTTTTGGTACTAGAGATTTAACTTTTGTTTTTTAATTCGTTGTTATACACTGTAAACCAGTGATGTTGTTGATATTTTATATAACCACATGAATCATTGTAGCTATTTCAGTATACAAATATATCTATACAATTTATAGTTTGTATAATTTCATCATTTTCCAGCTGATGTTATACAGTGTAACAGTTATGTGGTAGCAATGGTATTGGTTGTCAGTTATGCGTCATGAAAAGTACTGTGATATAGCACTCGTCCACCATTCAAAATTGAACAGTCTTAAATAATTTAACAATTACAGTGGAATCCGTCTAAACTAGACACCTTTGGGACTGAATAATTTGGCCAGTTTGTAGAGAGTTCCAGATTGTAGAAAGTTCATCTTTATAATATTGTTGGAATTGGAACTTAAATTATTTGACCGGATTAGGCAGATATCTGGATTGTACAGAGTTCGGTTTAGACAAAGTCCACAGTAATATGAATGGACCATTGATTTCCTTTTGGAAGTTTTTTTTTTTTTTTTTGGACTCATCAAATTCAAACTTCTTACATTTTAAGTTGTCTGGTCTGAAAGTCCGAAGTGATGGCAATAGTTTCTCAGTATAGAAAACGCATTTCTACATACCATTATCAAATCAAATTATCAGACAATAAAAATCTCATGTTTGAGTAATTTCCCCGAGATTCAACATCCTGCATAGTTGATGTGTGTGTTGCGATTCATCGTTTAGGCTTCAGGAGGATACATAGTGATAAACAGAGGTCTCTTAAAAAGTAGTAAACAACTAAATAAGACTTTTATTTTTTTCTTTTATATATTAAATTAGACTGCATTTAGTGAGTGAAACTGGTGTGAAAACAAAGCATTTACCAGTAAATAATTTCAGCATCATAGTCTTAAAACCTGTTAGGTGTATCTGAAATTTATCTTTAATTTATGATTTGTCCCCTTTACATTCTACACGCTTATAGGTCAATAACTAAAACGGATACCAAGCATCATGAAAATTTTCTGGTATCATTAAAAATTACTTGCTCAGGTTAATTGACCAATAACAAATATTTTTTGAAACTGTTCTGTCTCTTTAACATGTGTTTATCATTAGCCATCTTGGTGACACACATCCACTGCTGTAGAAAAGTCTTGTGTTCCTGTGCCATTCTCAAAGGGCAAATAGGCTGATGGCATGGTCTGATATTCATTTGTCCGGCTTCAGAATCCTGAGACATCTTTATTGTATTCTTCTCAATAATTGAAAGGTGCAAGGTCATATTTGGCCTTTATTATGCTCGGGAGAAAAGCTTTCAGTTTTGCCAAAATATACTTCACAAAATGATCCAATCAAGAAATACATACTCTTTGGGCCTCTTTTTTAAATTTATTTTTGAAGACAAAACTGGAAATTTTCTATCGGTGGAGAAATGGGTTAAAATAGGTTTCCATTTGGTGGCTGTTACAATAGATGTTAACCAGAAAAACAATAACTTGAGTATATTGAAAAGTTACCAGCTTAATAACCCATGAATTTTTTAATATTTGTGTCATATGTTTGTACTCTGTTTGTGTGTATTCATGTTTTACAATTTATATGCAGATATTTTATTAAAAGACTTTATTTTCTAATAGTAACCAGTTTGTGCTGATGTTCTCCATTACTATACAACTAGTTGTGATTTTGTATCTCGTCAGTTTTATACCACCTGTCATTAGAACCAAGGATGACAAAACTACGCGAACCAAACAACCAGAAATTTGTGTATCATCATACACCAAGATTTACACCTAACTATAGCTTTTGATTTGATCACATAATTGGGCTCTGCAATATGATTTAACAGTTATCTTTTCAGATAACATTTTATAGAGAGACTATTAAAGGATTTCACTGATACTGTGTAAAACACACTTAAGGTACACATCAGACTTGTCAGAGCATATCACCTTCACCTCTGTCTTGGTCAGTGCACAAACTTCTATAAACAGTGTGGTGTATATACGAATTGGCCTGTAGCCTGCAGAGCTGACTAATATTGTACAATTAACAATATAACATGGATAAAAAGGATGTAGATTGATCACATTTAACCATTAATGGTGGTTTGCTGGATGTACTAATTGACAATTGTGAATGCAAGACATGACTTACTGTATAGATCTGAAGTTGAGTAACACAGGTCTGCTGAAACAAAGACCATTACTGTGTCCTGTCAACAATTCCGTTATCCTTTATAAAATTTATATTATTGTCTAGTGTCGACCTGTTCATGGAAACCTTTCAACTCAACTTCGTAAAACTTTCTATATATAAATTTAGTGCCAAAGTTGTGCCTTTTGCTATTAACTTCTTTTCATCTTTTATTATTTTCTGTTACCACGGAAACAATTAAACAAGAGATCCCAGAGGGATCTTGGCTCCCACCATTTGAGGATCTGTTTTCAGTTCTTGAAGATTTTTTTTTTTTTGTTTGTTACAGGTGTTGTAAACGCTCAATGATGGCACAAGATATTTTTATTAAGCACATATCAGCAAATATCATTTGAAAAAGATCCCAAAGTATTATTAGATAGCAGTCAGAGTTACAGGTGGATAATGGACAATATGCTTGTACTGTATTACTGTCGACATCCAAGATAGCTGCCTGTGGGCCACCTTGATTTCAAATCAGTCCAAAAAAGGTACAATGCACAACTAGGGACCAAGGGAAACCAATATCTATGAAATATCAGAAGGATCCATCCAGTACTTCCTCAGATATAGCAGTAACAAGATTTTACTCTCAAAATCCAAGATGGCTGCCTGTCAGCCATCTTGATTTCGGATCAGTCCAAAAAGATCCATCCAGTACTTTTCCAGAAATAGTGGTAACAAACTTTTACTTCCAAAATCCAAGATGGCCACCTGTCGGCCATCTTGAATGCGAATCAGTTCAAAAAAGGTACAATGCACAACTAGGGACCAAAGGGAACCTGCATATGAAATTTGAGAAAGATCCATCCAGTACTTTTCCAGAAATAGCGGTAACAAGAATTGTTTACGGACGGACGGACCACGGACGGCAGGGTGATTTGAATACCCCACCATCTGATGATGGTTGGCTAAAAACACAAAATTCGTGTGAACTTTCTGAGCTACAATTTACAAACTATTGTGTTTCTTTTCTTTAAACAGCAGATAATGTCATGCTTTGCGTTATCTTGGCTACTTTATAACACTTGGACATTTTTAACAAGTATAAGTAAATTACTGTATATATAATGTTAAATGTCCCAGTAAGTATCAATCATGTATCTCAGGAGTCCTAGGCAGTTTAGTTGGTTATACGAGGACAGAAGTGTGCAGATAATAACAACAAGCAAGATATAAGGTAATTTCCTTTATGTATCAGGACATTCAAATGAACAGACTGTACTTTTACATGTAATTAGACGTGATATTTACAATGTGTTTTATTACATATTTGTCTTCTTTTCAATTACTGATTGCACTTTTACATTATATATATTACAGTTCAAGTGAAATGCTAATCACATCTCAAATATTAGAGTCGAAATTATCACAATGACAATCAATCTGAAAAAAATTCTGATTACAATGAAACCTGGCTATTTGGTCTTCACCAATTACAATCACATAAACCATTTCATACAGAGAAAGGAAAGTCAATTGTAATGAAAAAGAGTTGGATGGAATGGTTTGAAATCACAAATTACATAAAAAAGTTAATTTTTCTATCATAACTGGAACTCTGGGTTCACAGGCTTATTTAAAACAGAGAAGGGACACAACTCCGAAAAGGTTGGAAAAAAATTTAGTGATGTATTTGATGATGATGCCAATTTTTTAAAGATTAATAAAAGGCGAGTTCCCTTAAATCTGACAATAAACATAGACAGTAGGAAGTAAAGGGAAAACTTGGAAATCAAATGTGAATTAGTTACCTCATGATGGCGATTCATGAATATGAAAAAAAATAAGTTTAGAAGAGCCCAAGTACTTCTGGTTTCAAAAACAATGAACAAGGGCATAAGGGATAAAACTCTAATATATACATGTACCTAAGAACTTGCCAGCTTAACCATGCTTCATTTGTGTCCAACATAGTGGGGTTCAAGTGATAACCTCTGGCTGGTCTAGAGAAAGGTTTTATTATTGTAGAAACAGTATTACTACATACAGGTGTTACTGTAGCTGGCGTTAGAAGAAATAAATTAAGTTAAATTAGGATAGGGTAAATAATTGTGTATATTTACACTTTAATAAATAATATTGAAATTGATCACAAATAAGTACAGAGTTGTGAGTGAATATCTGATGAGCTTGTGATAACACTGATATGGACCCCTGACAAATGTCGTCATTTTTTTTGAGATTTTGACAGCGTTGGGATATGTTGCTTCAAATTTTACAATTTTTCCATGGCATATCAAAAAACGTTAACACATTTCAGAGATAAATGACAAAAAATATGCACAGGATAATGTTTAAAAATAAAAACCCATGTTCTTTTATCATCAATACAAAAGTTACTACAGGTACATTCATAATAAATGCTGAATTTCATACCAGAAAACATTTATTCTAACATGTTTAACCATACAGAAAAACGTATGGAATCAATCTTGTACCATGTTTGTATGAAAATGTCCTGTACACTATGTTGAACATGTTTACAACACATATCTACATGACCAACATTTGAAAAAGTTTCTCTGATTCAAATCCTGTAATCTACAAATGCTTAAGTACTGGTACACACAAATTGTGGACGTTAACACTGCCCTTGTTCCAATCTTGGGTAACTATGTTAACCAGAGTAGGTTGTGGACATACAAGTACCAGACAAGACACATATTCTTGGTAATGCGATAACAAAATTCCTGTAACTTTGCATAAAATGAAAGCACGGAAAAGGAATCGGAAGGTAATACTACGTAACTTTATTGTACTTTGTAGATGCTCTGTAAACTGATGTACTTTGGGTGTCCATACAGCGTGATGTATGGTCAACAACAGTACAATTTCCCGATAAGTGAACTGAAGTGTTCTGTAAAACTCAACATACTATATAGAGGATCCAATCCAGATATACTGGTGTTTAGATAATCTAATTGGAAATGTAGCACTGACATTACAACTGAAAATATTGGAATATATTATTCTCAAAAATCACAGTGAAAGTGGAACTGGAAGAAATGATAGTTCCAGAGATTTACAAAAAAAAAAAAAAAAAAAAATATTTGTAATTGAGTAGATCTCTTCATTTACCTGGCTTCAAATTCAGAACAGGAATGCATCACAATTGTTGTTAACAACTAAAGGTCAGTGGGGTCACAGTTACGTTGGTTTCCTAGTCTTATCAATTCCAGAGGTAATCAGTAACATAGAAAACCCAGATAACTGTTGGTCACTTCAGAAAATCTTGTCAAGTGCCTGGTGGAGTTACAAATGTATCTGACAGGTGATACCATCCATATCACATTGTTATATTGTAACTGGAAAATCTTCCAACTATTTTGTTTAATGCACTTTTACATTTATTTCTTGCCTCTTTTTCAAGAGAATGCCCATGAACTTCTGATTGGTAATTTCAAACTAGAGGCCTGCATCACTTACCTCGCTAACTCAGCCATTCAATCATTTAACGAAGAATTTCAAATATGACAAATAACTTCTGAAATCATTTCCCTATTGGGTCCTGGCCTTGTGGTCAAACAGACACAAAGAAGGATTTTTAAGAACTAACATTTGCTCTATTGGGCCCCATCCCCCACTCCAAGAGGCTAAAATCCACCTGTTAAGAAGAACTGATTCCCCTTCATTCAAGAATGTGTTTGACCAAATTTAGGTTCCCTTTTCCCCATTGATGCTTCTGTAGTCAAAATCTGTTCAGTCGATCATGACTAGTAGCAATTTTTAGTAAAAAGTTGACGGATGACGAACAATGTGCCAGGACATATGCTCATCAGTCCTTAAGGCCAGGTGAGCTAAAAACTGGAAGTGAGACTCACACTTTTCAGAAAAACATGATCTATAACAACTGACACCATTTTGACAAAGGTACATACCATTAATAAGTTCAAAATATATAATTTTTCACAACATCTCTATGTTTCTATGCTGTGGAGTTCCTTTCTAGTGAAGCAATGTCCTTCCCCAGCTGCAGACACTAGTAAGCTATGTGTGGGCTGTTATCTAACTGAAATTCTAAGTACAACACTAATAATCTCGCAGCATGATTTTACAGCTGAATATAAATCCTGTCACCATAACATAGAACACTAACTAGAAGTTCACAATGACTAGTATGGAATTATTTCTCGTTAGTACAGAATTACTTCCCTTTAACACACTATTATCTATAAATAACTTGTAGATTTAAAACTCTATCTATGCATCACTTAACAAGTGGATACCAAGCAATTCACATTCAACCACACCTTTACCATCGGACGACACAGTTGTTCACAGAATTTTTTTTTTTTTGGAAAAAGGGTATCTATGAACTGTATTTTTTCAGTAAATCCTGAGCAGATTTTCTCTCAGGAAGAATTGTATCCATATTGTTGACTTCTATATATTGATGAATTCTGATTTCCATTTCCTCCTTTTGCCTTTTAAATGCCAGGTGAAAAATGCACTGGAGATGGTGCTCCAAACGTTAGAAATCCAGAAATAATCTACAAACTGACAGTTCTCTTCACATGACAACAAAAACACATGGCATCAGGTAAGAAGTTTCTATCGATGTAGTGAAGATTTCAAGTGGGAGTGTGACACATAAAGGCCCAATGATATAACACTAAAATCCTTTAAATATCAAAACAATAACAAAATATAACATCAATCTCATCCAGAAACCTGTGTGGTCACATTAGTGTTGTAAAAAGAAAAATGTTTGTAATCCTGCAGAAAATTAATATCTATTCCAGTCTGTAAATATTCAAACAGCAACACAAAAACTGCATAAAGATGTCATGTTGTTTATCCCTGACATCTGTTTATGCTTGCATGACAATAAACTACACCATACACATGTTAAATTAGGGTTACTACACCAAGTGTAAGCCAGTTAACACTCTGGCTATACACATCTCTATATAGCTTTCATGTGTACAACCTGTAGCATCATATTGACATTCTGACGCTACAATAGCACTAGGCAGAATCAGGTTTGTCTTTGTGAAATCTAAGCCATGAAATATGGCAATATGTGTCATGTCACATCACAGTTGTTGTAGAAGAGGAGCTACAGGACCGAGGTCAGATTCACCATATCAAAACAATGGAATGTCTGTTATGTTCATGCCACGTCTGAGCTCTGTTTAAATGGGAACATGAGAGCTCTTGCCTTCATAAATGAAAGGTTTGGTAGGGAACTAATGACTTTTGTTGCTTCTGGGGTTAAGTTCTCTGCTGGCCGCACCTGTCGCATGGTGGAGTTGGTCTTCAGGTTGGCCAGGATGTTCTCCAGGGGTTGCATGGCTGTCTTAGGGTCCCGCTGACCATGCATCAACTCTGAGTCAAAGACTGCAACAAGACCATGAAATTAATGAGAAATGAATGAGAAAACAATACAACAAGAATAGATTATCGAACATACACTATATTAGTCACTGATAACTTTAGATGTTCAGGATCAACAACATTCATTTGTAGAACCCTATATTACATACATTAATGCCATTGAACAAAAAGTCATAACAGGGATCTTTTCCAATATTTTATTTCCAGTTTGTCCTTTTATGGTAACAGCTATATTTACCATTTAAATAGCCTACTAACACCAACTGTACTTTTTCTATCAAAATCTTGTAAAAAATATCCTCCGATGAACCCAACATATGCTTGGGATCAATATACAGCTGTACAGAATGTCTATCATCCTAGATTCCAGTAAAATAAAGTCCTAGCGTCCTCCTACGATAAGCAACTTTTAATAGTTTCAAATCATATATATATATACTGAAAGGATGAAGGAGTAGGTACATGCATACAGATAAAACAAATCACCTTTCAGCACATACTTCCTAATAATCAATGTAATTTCATCAGTTATTTTGCAGTATAAACTGAAACTTTTAAATATCTGGTGCAAGTGAATTAAAATACACTATATATGTTCTTTTTAATGATGACAAATAAAGAACAAATCTTAATATCTGTGGAGTGAAAAAGTGCAGATGGATATACAGATTCATGCACAGATGACACGATAAACACGAGTTTTGAAAGTGGGGGAAGGGAGAACCATACAGAAAAGTCTGCGCTGAAACATGATTTTATCACGATACCAATTACTGTAAAATCATTGATTTTCATGAGAAATTTATTTTCTTTTGTACATTTAATCCAGAAGTTCTTATGTCTACAAACTGTTTAAATAAAATTTATTGAATTATATCTATCTATAAAATCAAGTGTTTTTTAAACCCAAGAAAATTCTGCCTCACAAAAACATATGATTTTACAGTATACCATAGCCTACCATTTCAACTGGTTTTTATGAAAATTTCTAATATACATATCTATTGAGGTGCCTTGGACATAAAATACATTTTAATTAAAAGCTTTAATTCCATGGTTACTTAAAACACATTAATCACAACATTACAAGGTTCATCCCAATGATTAGCGTGCTTAACATGCTGCGACACAAAATCACCCACTGCAAGTCAACCCTGGTAGTTTTCTGTTTCTCAGTATTGAGGTGATTACAGCATGATTTGACAACCCTTGTAGATGTCAGTTTCTCTCTATAGAGGTGATTACAGCATGATTTGACAACCCTTGTAGATGTCAGTTTCTCTGTAAAGTGGTAGGTACAACACAATTTGTCCGGTTTTGAAGTTGTTATATTCTCTATACAGAGGGGGTTAGAATATGGTTTGTCAACCCTTGTAGTTGTTATATTCTCTATATAGAGGGTGTTAGAATATGGTTTGTCAGTCCTTGTAGTTGTTATATTCTCTATATAGAGGGGGTTAGAATATGGTTTGTCAACCCTTGTAGTTGTTATATTCTCTATATAGAGGGGGTTAGAATATGGTTTGTCAACCCTTGTAGTTGTTATATTCTCTATATAGAGGGGGTTAGAATATGGTTTGTCAACCCTTGTAGTTGTTATATTCTCTATATAGAGGGGGTTAGAATATGGTTTGTCAGTCCTTGTAGTTGTCATATTCTCTATATAGAGGTGGTTAGAATATGGTTTGTCAACCCTTGTAGTTGTTATATTCTCTATATAGAGGGGGTTAGAATATGGTTTGTCAGTCCTTGTAGTTGTCATATTCTCTATATAGAGGGGGTTAGAATATGGTTTGTCAGTCCTTGTAGTTGTTATATTCTCTATATAGAGGTGGTTAGAATATGGTTTGTCAACCCTTGTAGTTGTCAGTTTCTCTGTATAGAGGTGATTACAGCAGGATTTGTCAACCCTTGTAATTGTCAGGTACTAGTACTTCTAGTACTTGGAACATCAAAGGATATAAGAGAGTTTGTTTTTTACAAGGTAGGGGCTTATTTCCAGATAAATCACAGAGCACTCAAAATGACTGCAACATACAATATAGAGGTGACTGAAGGGAACTGTCTTCTATTTTCCTTTGCTTCTGTCTACAAGTTTACTACCTTGATAAATGACTTGCCATTTTTACAACATGAAGGAAAAACTTTGTTTTTGGAAGTATAGGTATGTGTACACAGACTTAAACAACAGAGAGTGTTCAGTCAAATGTTACAACAATAATTAGTAACTTTATCCACATCAAATCTAGCACCTTACCAGAATTACAGCAAGAAAAAGTTATCAAGCAATTTCCACAAGGAAAATCAATCAATTTAATTATATGTATATCATATATAGATAAAAAAAGCATGCAGGCCAGTATTTTGCCCATTGGCCTTACATGTGCACAAATCACACTATACTTATTTTAGCTTCAAACATGTGTAGTAGATTAAAAGTATATTGGGTCAGAAATAAAATGAGTTTTCCCCAGAAAAACCACAATGAAAAACTGAAACAAAAACATCCAAACGATAAGTGTCACCAAATACATGTACATGTAGAAACCTCGCAAAATGGTTCTTACCCCAATCCCACTCATCTGTTGTTTGGAAAAGATACAGGGATTCACAAGTTGGTTATTTCATACAAGGTAGGTTAGGTAAACAATGTACAAACATGTACCGTTAATATAAGCTCTAATCATAAGTGTACAGATTGCCGATTTATTTATGAATATACTAATGCTCTCGTTTTTAATAAAAAAGAAGGTAAGAAAAGAACAAATATCTGAAGGTAAATAATTAAGTGGGTGATCAGTATTTACTATGGTAGAAATTTTTTATTTAAATGCTTTTTAACTTATACATCAAATACACTCAATCTATTTAATGAAAAAGACATGGATTAAATTGTAAAGAAGAGCTGGCTACAATGGTATTTTCTTAGCAGACTTCAAAGAAACTGACCGAATCAAAATACTTCTTAAGATTGATCAGTATAATTTTATCTGCTTGAAATTAAAAAAAGTATATCCCATCCCTCCACAAACAGTGCATAATAGAAATGCCATAAAAATTGCTGAAAAGTTTTCAAAACTGATATCCTGTAACAAATATCATCAATAAGATTTTGATGAGCTTCATTTAAGGAATGACTATGTAGTTTCATCAATATCTATTTTCATCAAAATTTTATAAAGTACTCTCAACTAGATGTAATGAAAAATATTTTCACTTTCATTTATTCAGAACAATGACACTTGGGCAAAAATCTTCAGTCAGGTTTTTCATAACACATTATCTATCATCAGTAGAACTGACCTAATTAAGCTGCTGACTAGAAATCTATCTTGTAAACAGCAACAGTGACATTTCATGATCTTTAAGTGTGAAGCTGCTTGAGAACTTGATAAAATGACCATTTCTATGAAGTTACACAAAAACCAGTGAAGTTTCACCAAAACCAGGTAAGTACTTTTTCTTGTGCAAGCAACATATGTGACTTTTGTTAAGTTTATAACAGTAGTGACAGTGACCTTTGCTTATAGAACATGACCTTGAAATTCAAGTTTTCATGGTAACATCATGCAAAGAACAAATGAGTGAAGTTCTATTGTTCCTCTAATTTTTACCAAGAATGCTGCAATTTTTTGCATATTTTTAATAACTGCACTGTACCAGGCAGAACAGTTTGCAGTTTCATCAAAATCTACAAAGTACTTTTATCTGATATTTACACCCATGTAAGGTGTATAAAAAAACCTGCCCTAGAGGTAAGCAAGAAATCAATAAAACATATAAAAAATAGCATCCTACACATAGCATTGACCCTTCATCACAGCAAACACCAAGACAAAACATAAGATAGGTCTACATAACTATATGTAAAGTCGTAACAGATGGTCAAGCATTTATACAGCACTATCACTAGGATGTTAGTTCAGCATCCCTACTAAAGAAATATATCAGGTAGTTATATAGAAACATGTACAAGAATCCTATAGCATGGAATTATTCTGAATTTACAAAGGAAATTTCAGCAGTAGCTATAAAACTATATGTTTACTTGAAGCAAGCATCTTACTGAGGTGAGTGGAGATAAATCTTACAACAGAAAGCAATAGAATAGTGATCATATTGCAATAGATTTACAGTGTTACTGCCAATAACAGTTAACTGTTAATAGGAATAGACAAGTCATATACTGGGGTAAATTTCTGAACAATTTACCAGTATTTCAAGTGATAATTACAGTCATTTAATATCAGTATTAGTGTATATACAACACTTATCTTCCACTCACTATACCACCCGCTAACTGATGATGTGTTAGTTATACATGATGGGTTAAATATCTTAGTATGACACATTGTACACATTTCTTACCTCCCATCTTCGCCACCGCTTCTGTTTCTTTGACAACTAAAAAATCCAATTCAAGGCTTTTACTGTTGGCTGTAAGAACAGATTACATTTGTGTTAGTGGTACCACACCAATCCCAGCAGGCCAAACTGTGTGTTAGGTTTGTATGTTTACAACCTGTGATAAACCTTTATCTAGCAACAACACCATTGTTTGTGATTCAATCCATTCAACCCCAAGTAAACTCATCTTTCGTCCTAAGTACATCATTCTTTTTTAGGAGCAACCAAATTCTGTTAGGAATAATCACAACCTTAACAACAGGTCAATTCCTCTTTCTGAAGATTAATAAATTCCTTCAGGAATAATTCCAACCTGAGTTATAAGTCCACTCCTCTACTTTCGTAAATCTATTAATTTCATGAGGAAGAATCCCAACCTGAGTAATTAGCACATCCCTCTTAATGAGGATAAATCAATTCCCTCAGGAATAAACTCACTACTGACTTAAATTATTTATAGAAAATAAAGTGATTTAGATTTATCACAGGTCATTGTAATATGTATGTACAATACAACTTATAAATTGCATTAACAATGTATTCAATTTATCCTGCATTTTAAACAAAGCTTTCAAAAAAAATATCAACAACGTTAATTTTGGTTTTGTACATTTTCTAAATTTATGCATTTCTCACTCAGTGCAAAACTCTTTCTACTTGAACTCATATTGTAATATATTAACTGACATTGACACAGAAAGAGGAGGATTTGATTGTTGATCAACAGTGTGGCCATCCAGTATGTTACAGAATTTTTAAATTGCTATTTGCTTGGTTGTATGTTGTCCAATACCTTAGTTTGTTAGTAGCTGCAGGATAAATGTGCATATCATGTCAAGTACGTTCATTTTGTATATCAAACTTTGTTCTATTAAAAACCAAGCTAATTTACAAGCAAAATGTTCAAATTGATTAAATTATCATAAAGAATTTTTGTCTTCAACTTGATGTTTATAATTACAAGGTTTGATCATATACAAAATACATATAAATAAAGCCTCCCACTATGACGTAGCATATTGGTCCAAAATAGACACACTGTTACTGATTTCCACAATATAAAATATATTAGGATTAAGATTTAAGACATCAAGTGTTGTCAGGGTTTTAGATGCGAAAGTAAACAAATATGTCCACACTTTAATTTCCTCGGACTCCATCAGTGTTTTTTGTAAAACCGATCTCTCTGAGTCAACACTGTGTACCAGTTAATGTACACTGTAGTTCAACTTTCCTCCATCTCATTGTCATGATGGTAATAACAGACAAATCCCCTTCTTTACATAGTGATTCTACTGTTAAATAAACACTAAATAAAAAGGATGATATGAATTTTACTAGGCATTTGTAATTTGATCAGATGAAAATTCCCTATTATAATTAATAGATTGAAATCATTCTATGTGATATAAATTCAAATTATGATCATTTATCATTTTTACATTTGTCACCAGTAGGAAACAATAGATAATAAATATCCACTACCAGTGGAATTACCATGTTGTCTACCTGTTTATCTCTAATACTTTTCCCATTATATCCCATTATTGTTGGTAGTGATCTTATGTAGGTGTATGTTGATACAATGAAGACATAAAACTTGACTACATCTATGTATAGCTTACATGTTGAGAGCATAGAAACATACCCTATTATTCTCTCTAAATGTGCACATATCTAAAGACTATAAGTGCTCTAATTATCATAGTCTCACATTCTGAAGATGATCTTGTGCATGTCTTATGATTACAAGGTTACAACATTTGGTATGGCTCTTTGCATACATTTTCTGACAATATTTATCATTTTCAGTCAGCGGAATATGCAGTATAAGGTAGACAAAAGTTCTAAGCCCTCGTCTGTAATGGACGATGACTAGCATATTGATATTATTTTCTTGTACTTGGATCAAGACACTGTAAGCTGTATTAGTTATTTCAAAAATCTTTTGTTTAATGATATATTTACTAAATACTAAAAAAGGACAAAAAACAGCAAATAAGAAACATTCTTTGCAGATATTACAACAGATTTTAAATATCTCACTTCATACATTTGAATTATTGGTTGATAATGATACTCTGAACAAATTAAATACAATGATGTTTATATTACAACAATATAAGAATACACGTACGTTAAAGGATTGGTATTTACTCAAAACGTTGGACCAAATTAAATTTTTGTCATGTAAAATTAGCACAACAGATGGTAGTACATACTAGTGAAGATAGAGGCTGTTGCAGAAAAGACAGAAAGGTTAGTGATAAAGTTAAGATGCCATGACAGGATGGAAAAATCAAAGTTTTAGTGATGATGTTAGCAATGCTTCTGTCAAATTCCTCCAACAACCACCCATATAACCTCTAAACTCTTGATTTTTTAATTGGAAAGTTTTCATCTGCTGCTCTCTTTATATCTCTTTGCAAATGACAAGTCCTCTTTATATTTACACAAAATTTTCCATCACTTCCATTTTACAATGTGTATGTGTAAATACACTGACTGACATCTCACTATCCTAAAAATCTTTCACTATCAATGTATTTTGTAATTAACAGCAAAAGATCAACACCCAGTCCAGAATGACCACGAATGACAGAGGCATCACAGTGATATAAAGAAGGTACTATTTGTCAGGTTTGCTAGCAGGGTAGACATAGTTTCTGCGTATATCATAATCAGGCTTAACATAAAATTCATAAAATATATTTTGCAGGAATTTTTAATTTTTGGAAACTGAAGGAAAATATTGTCAGTAAGAATATGATCTAGTTATTTAAGAAAAATGTGACCTGGTACATTTTTTGAAATTTGACTACAGTGCTTGAACAACCTGCAAAGGACCTGGGCCGTGTGATAAAGGAAAAAGAGGAGATGGTGACGACAGACAAGCAGAGAAGAAATGCAATAGAGGATAAGCATATACATGTACCAATTTCTGCTGCGATGTCGTGATCACTGCCTGTAAATTTAACAGAGACCTAGTAGCATGCTGTGATGTTTGATGTAGTGTGTAACTAGATATAGGCTTTACACCATTTATGTATATATAAATCGGCCCTTCAGTATATAGGAAAAGTTCACACAAGAAGAATGTTTATGATAGTCAAATAAAATTATATTTACAGTGTTGCTAGAATTGAAACTGTTTTCTTCCTTTATACAAAATAAATCCAGTATTATTCCCTGCATGTATGTTGTATATGAAATCTATTAATACATCCATATCAAGCTATTGTAAATTGAACATAAAAGGAATGTTTTCAACTAAGTGATCTTTGATTCAGAACAATTCTTCACTACACTATTGGTAAATATGTTAAAAAGCTGTTACATTACACAGGAAGTAAATAGACATTTCAGGGGTAAGTATCAGGAAATATCATTAAGGTCTTGTAAGACAAGTGCTTGCTTGGATAGCATTGCTAGTAGTTAGTATAAATCTTGAAGCACTCTCTATATCAACTGCCTTGTAACACAACATTACATTACACCTCATGCATAAACTAATTGTTTACGATACAATTGATATGCATGTGTGTATGAATAAATTGATGTTAGTTAACAATATAATAGCCATTCATGATTGTACATATCTGTGCAGACGTGTGTACCAAACCTAGATCTGACACGACACTGATTATCTTACCAGTATTTGATTTTCTCCTATCTAAATGATTATTATATAAAACAAGTAATTACTGGGTTGTATAGCATGTGTGTAATTTCATACATGTTTATGTGAAATGTAAATGTTGATATATTATATGTAATATAGAACTCAAACATGTAAACAAATGGTAATAACTTATTATTATGATTGTCACAACATTAAAGGTAAAATGGGGAAGGTAAAAATCAGGTAATATAAACCAGCCAAGTATTTAACAATGGTATACTTCTTAAAAACCATACTGTTTAGACAAAAGACTGTCACCAAAAGTACACCTGCCAGGCCATGCACACAGAACCATGGGTAGACTATGGAGGCAGTACCGATGTACTTACCTTCCAGGGGGTTAGTAAGCCCACTATTGCTCCAATCAAACTGTACAGGCGGGAGATCCTGAAATGATCACGGTACAATATCAGCTAGCATACATAAACAGCTTTAACCTATCGAGTTAGTTGACCCATACCACAGTGTACCCACCTTCATCACCACCTCCTCCCCGTATAAAATCTATAATATACCTCCTCCCTGCATACAATCCACAACTTTCATTTTTACATGCCTTTGATGAGAATATAGAACATTTTTTATTTCTTTGGTTATTCTGGTCTACAGGAGTTAATCAAACAAAGAAAACCATAAACTCAACTGACATCACTGGCGGTTTTGCTACCATAGAAAACAGAAGGTTCTACTATTCTTGATTGTTATATGTCAGAGTCAAGTGAAGCGCAAAAATACTTTTCAGGAGAAAAACATGTGGAAGCCTACAGCATTTATAATCTATCAATTACCGCTTGCATGAAGTAAAGAAGCTGGTAAAAAATCAAAATAATGGTAATCATTATTAGGTTTTTATATATTTCAAGTTCTTTTTAAAATAAGTTATAGTATCATAATAGCACTATCGATATAAATGCCTAAATGAAAACTAGACAGATTAATACAAACAAAACCTAGCACCAATTCCGTAAATGACCAGCATGCAACATGGGACAAGTCTAAACTACTACCAATTATACCACCAGACACCGCTACATGCATAAAACACAGAATGCTTCACTTTTAAGGAGGCTGACTGTAATTTTGCTTGGAGTTACCTCCATTCCTACATGTGTAATAACTGATGGGTAAATATCATGTTTTTTATCAAACACACTGATGTGAGACAGGATAGAAAATGAAAAAGGACTTCAGCACTAAAAATCAAAAGCATCTACATAGAAAGTAAAATGTGGATTTGAATATTTTAATACAAAGAGTGTATTAATTGCCTTATGGAAACTGTCCCCTACTGCCAATACAATCATTCTACATGTATATATAGTTTTGTTATGAAGTTTGTATGTGTTGCATGAGTTTTCTGTGTGTTAAATAAGATTGAGAAAAAGACATTGGTACACTTAATTTAGTCAAGACAACACATTCACAAACACAGAGAAAGAGAGAGAGAAAGTGGTTGATGATGACAACATTGTGCAAGTGACGCGCCACCAGACATGATGGCCAGGATACAGTTACGTGAGTGGAAGGTATAATATCTCACAGACAGAGGTGACAGGTACATTAAACAAAGTAGTTACGGATCAGCAATCAACACAATGCATAAGTATATATGGTAAGTGTATAAAACGTATAAATTATACACATTTTGTATATAATAATCGTGGATTATTTCATCAACATCAAACTATAATTGATAGACATATCTTGTTACACCGTAAAAATATAAACTTTTACAGAAAAACTCTCCTACATTGAATTATAATCATTTGAAACTTCTGATGACTCCAATGCAAGTGTTTTCTTATCTTTGTAAACCTAATGTATATATGTTTGTACCACTAAACCTCACTCATGCATTCCATTTCAAATATTAACAAAAATAAGTTAAGTGATCAAAAATAAGTGTGAAGTAATATCAACACAAATATAAATACACAATACAAAGAAATCCCATTTCGTCCAAGTCCATGGAACTATGTCAATATTTGAGGAATATTTGGTAATCAAGTAATTAGAGGTTAGTCACAGACTGTCCAGTAGCCATTATCCATGAATGGTAATACTCCATTCTTTGACCACTCCAATTCATAATTGTGTTGAATTTTGGACTAATTTTCAATTTCAATTTTACTGAAGAGAAATGTGTTGATTTTTCATTCACAGCAAAATGAAAATGCAGATACCATGTTTGTCAGATTAATGAATACTTCTGCATCACCTTATTTAAAAAATTTCAAATGATAATAAAATGATGATTCCATGTTGTTAGTGTACATTATGTTATCAATTATTTCATCAGTACCGCTAAACATGTACCCTTTTGTAATTTTGTTTTAACTTTGAAATAAAAATAAACTGCCATTCAAACAAGGTTGCTTTTTTATGCAGCAATTAAATTACAAATTTACACAAAATATCCCAATAAACAATGATCTTATGTAGTAGATGGCAGAAAACCTGTGTAATTATGCCACTGTTAATCTGGAAGTTATCTGCGGTCCCCTCAGATGCCTGCAAAAACACCTGGAACTGGTACCCAGAAGATGGACATAGTCATGTGTGACAAATTAATTTTAGCAAGTGTGACACATAATAAAAAAAACACAGTGGGAAAATACTATGACCACTTTAGTGATGTGGATTAAAATGATTTTAAGGAGTGCTGGGTATTTGAGGAATAATGGTTAGAGAAATCTGAGCTTCAATAACATGGAATTTATAAGGGCAAGGTCGCAACCAAGCGATCAGTTCCACATATAGGAAGCGAGGTTATGCTGTATATTGCTGCTGAACCATTTGAACAGGAAAGCACAACCTAACAAAAATCGGAGTAATTATTCTACAAGTGCCTATTTTTTACCTGACTGGCTGGCTTATCATCCGATTTTGACATGTCCACTAATTTGTTGGCATCTGACTTTCCCTCAGCCGGAGGTGTGGGGCCCTTGGTTGGCTCCAACAGGGTCAGATTGGCGGCATACATGGGAACTGATGGCTTGCGATGACCTAGTAGCTACAAACAATCCTGATACTTCAAAATAGTATTTGGTCAAATATATGTTTATTTCATCATTAGTGATACAAACTGCAGCTTAATAAATTGTGAAAAAGAGACAATGGCAAAAAAAACCCAATTGTCAATTATTTACATTTTCCAACATGTTATTTTTGTGTATTCCCTTGTACTTTATTACATCTGATGTTATGAGGTTTTTACATAACATTACATTAGTAAGAGAAGTACAAGTTTAAAGACATTTAGTTTGATCAATTGCCTAAGGTTTAAATGGGCCCAGTTTACTGATTGTTTTGAGGTATTGAAATTCATTCAAAATTATTTCATTTGTTTCGATACATACATAATATACCTGTTCTTTACCAATAACAATAATCAACTTGAAAACCTGTCATTATATCTCCATTCTTTTGTCTACCTATGCCAATATCAGCAGTGACAGACATTTATAATCATCGACGTTAAACTACAACACAGTTACCAAAATCTGACAATTACATTATTGTACCTGTAAAATACAATTCAGAAAAGATCCATCCTCCTACATATATTCAGAGACGAAAAATGGCATAAATACAGAAAGACTTAAAACTTGAATTTTTGAATTCTTTCTATGGGAAAAATTCCATTGTGCTAAAATTCTGAAAACAACTGGTATCAACCAAAAAATTGTCGCTGTGCAAGCTCTCTGTCTTTTCAGTGGATTGTTCTCTGACAAGTTCACACCTATAAATAGGGCAATTAATATGTAAATATATTGTAATGTTAATAAAGAGCACTGTTATAGCAAACAAAACCTTACCATAGCCTTCTATTTTAGTGGTGGAATACTTACAATATTGCGTGTGTCAATGCGTAGGGTTGTAAACAGTTTGCTATTGCTGTGAGATTCTGACCACAGCTTTGACAGTTGTATGGTGCTATTAGGAGACTTTAGCTTGGCCCATAGCTGTGGTCCAGTCGCCGACCTAATAATAATTTCAGTGTGTTATTTGTATTATTTATAGCAGTAACAGGAGCCTGAGAGAATGACTGTCATCAAAACACAATCTGTCCTCAAAACAGTCTGTCATCTAACCATAGTTATAATGCTGTTACAATTTAAATTCATGCTTTTCATAGTGTGCTTTTCAACTAAATCAACAAGATACTTAACTCCTTACAAGTTATGTGAACTGTATATCAATACATATATATAGCTATTATACAAATCTGTAAGTGATCATATTTTCATCTTGTTTAAATCTAACCAGACCATGTATTTTCATAAAATGTGAATTGTTAAAAGTAATGAAACAAAAATATAGACCTGTAATGTTAAAAGTTTACAAAAAAAAAGTAATGCTAGATCTAGCTAGTCTTACTTGTCCTCTGGACTGACATTTCCATGACAACAGTCGTCTAGAAGAAGAGGTGTCTTATTATCCTGGTCATTCACACATGATTCCGGGAAACATGATGTGATCACTTCACCTGAAGAGCGCTTAACCATTGGCTGTAACATTTGGATCAGAAATATAGATGCATCATTAATTTTACGGATTTCCAGAAATAAAAAAGTTCACTACAACGAATAAAATTGCTTCAACATTATTAAAGTAAATCTTTTTTCTGTCACAGCAAAATACAGCAAAAATATACGTGGCAAGATTATTATGACAATAGCAGCCCAATTTACTAGATAAAAGGTGATATTAGGACAGGGAACTGATTCTTTTTTGTTCTCAATTATCAGAAAACCTTATATACAGGAAATGAGCACAATATAGTGTTATACTTTGTATTACAATGCATATACTACATGCATTGTAACAACATACACCCTAATAAATATGCACATGTTCATTTCCGTTCATTCACATCTGTCCTAAACACTACACAAGTTGACAACTAAATTACCAGTATAAAGAACATTTCAGTTCTGTGATAATCAAATACCTTTGTCACTGCTGGTTTTGGCTGTTTAAGTGCAGAAGAGTCCTCAACACTGCTATTTGAGAAGCCCCTGGGTTTCCTTGCATGCTCAAAGTCCTCGAAATCCCCAAAGTCGTCATCTTCATTACTGCCAGCACCCACCTGGTCAGGTGTAGGTGGAGTTTGGAATGTTGCCCAATCATCTTCATCCTCATGATCACCTTCAGCAGCAGATGCTGATGGAAATGCATCAAAGCTAACTGAACCTGATTTAGTCTTATCTGTTAGTACTGCACTGGTGCCTGAATCATTTTTACTGGATTCAGAAGAAAAATGTGAATTAAAGTCTGCAAAACTATCAAAATCATCATCAACATCATTGTCACAGTTTCCTGAGTTTAAATCTGAACCAGATTTTTCATTACCATTTGAAATTGTCTGTGGTAACGACTCAGATACAGGCTTATCTAATTCGACAGGTTTACTGCTATGAAAATCTGCAAAATCATCAAATTCTTCATCATCTTCATTGTTGATGTCCAGAGTAGCTGATTTGTTCTCAACAAATGGTGGTGACAAATTAGCTACAGGAATATTGCCGGACTTGTTCGCACTACAATCTGGTACACTGAATTGAGAAGCTGAATTGAAGTCAGCAAAGTCATCAAACTCGTCATCTGAAATCTGAGAAAGTTCTTGCTTAGGGTGGACATTCTTTAACATCTGTAAATCTTCATTTTCTGAAGAAACAGAATTCTCACAAAAATCTTCATTGTCAATCACATTGCATTTTTCATTATCATCCTCATTTTTCTTAGAAATATCACAGTTTTCCTCTAATTTGGCATCAGTCTTGTCTTTCTTCTCACAGCTCTCTTCTTCTGACGAACTCAAATCTGTTAAAACAAATCCAGAATCTTTCATCTCTTGTGACTGTTCAGTGGATTCACAATTAATTTCATTGTCATCCACTTTATGGAATGTTTCACTGAGCTCAGCATCACCACATACTGGGGCATCTGAATGTTTCACTGTTATTTCTGTTGATTCTTTGTTCTCACCTACCCATGTCTCTTCCTTATTAGAGTTATCTGTCCTTTCAACATCACTACTGTCACTGTCAATTTTATTATGACAGTGCTCTCCACCCATTTCATCTGAAATCATATGCACACAATTCTGTTGACTCTCTAGAATAACCTCTTCTTGAACACATGTATCCTTTACAATGTCTGTTTTCTCTGTTTCGGAGTTTTCACCTAACATGCCATACTCCCTCTTTATGTTCACATCCGGCTGTTGATCTGTTACAAAAGTCTCCATTGTTATCTGACTAGCATCCAGTGGTGTCCCTTCTGTAGTTGGATCCATGGTCAATTTTTCTTCAGTGGAATGGTCATCTTTGGAGGTATCAGAAAATGAGGTACATGTGTTCTGGTTCATGTTACTTAAGGGAGACTCATGTTCATGTGCTCTCTGTTCTGATACAGAACCACACATATTGTCTTCCCTTATTTGACTAGTTCTGATTTCTTGGTCATTGACACTTTCAGATCCTATCCTATTTGATACCTGGTCATCAGAATTTGAACTGCTTTGGTATTTGTCATCTACATTTCCCTTGTTGGTCACATTTTCTTTCCATTCCTCTATCACTGCCATGTTTTCTATACTGCCTCTTGATGCCTCTTTACCAACAGAAGACTCTGAGTGAAAATCTCCAAAGTCATCCAGGTCTGATTCCTGACTCTTGTCTTCTGGTTCGACATTATCATCAGATTGAGGGACAGGTGATATGTCAGTGCTACAAAGTCCCGAGTCCCCTGCAGATATCACACTACTGATGCTGTCTAGATTACCTGACTGACTTTTGTGCATTTTCATCTGCTGTTCACTATCATCACAGGACATTACCACATTCTCTTGAATGATGTCATTATTTACAAAATCATTCGCTGTTCTTAATGATAACTTCATACCACTTGATTTTAGGGAATTATCATCTTCATTGTCTCCCTCTTTGGAATCGATACTGATTGTACTGTTATTCACTGCATCTGTTGTGACGTCACCATTTTGTATACTTTCCACCTTTGAGTCACTGGAAAAGTTGCTGAAATCAGCAAATTTTCCAAAATCACAATTTGGAGGTGATGGCATATTAGGAATGTTATTCCATTGATCAGCTGAAGATTGGTCAGAAAAGGATTGGAAATCATTTCCAATTGTGGCAGTTGCAAATGTCCCAAAGTCATCATCTTCATCATCCCAGTCATTGAACCCTCCCCCATCTTCTAAAGGAGGAGGCGAGGATGACACCATGGGGATAAAGTTTGACATCTGGGTTGTCTGTCACAAAAACTCAATATGACCAGAAACACTCACATAATGCTTATGTTTTCCAGTACCGTGTATCTGCAACAAAATGTAACAAATCATTAACAGTAGTTTCACAGTGGTTTCATTTACAATCTACAAGGATAGACACAAACAAAATTTTCTTATTAGTTCACTGGACTAGTTGAATAAGCTATTGCCTAGTCATGTATAGTTGTAATTACATGTGATTGGATATAAAGAATTGTCCTAAATTCTGATGACAAAAATTGAAAAATAAAACCTGAACAGTAAGAGACAATAAACAAAAGCAATATGTTCTCGTTGAGCAGCTTATGTGCAATATAATGTATTTTTGAGCAATTTGTTGGACAGGAGTATTCTGAATATATTCATAGTATGTAAATCATATTGATTCAATATATACATGTATAATTTTTAAAATTCAAAGCTGATGACAAACAAAATAACGCAAAGCGTGACATTATCCTTTTGTGCCCCACTGTTTAAAAGAAGGACACACAATCATTTATAAATCAATATTACTGGGTAATTACCTTGAATGGTTTAAGAGAACTGGTCTGAAAAAACTTAACTTTGTGATTTGGCCTATTTGTTTCCATGGTTACTGAAAAAGTACTTAAATGGAGGACTTCCCCATAGCAAAAGATACTTCTAGCTTAATAAGTGTAAAATAAAAAGTTTTGAGCAATTATCTTGAAACTGTTTCAGAGCACTGGTAATGAAAACTGAAATTTGTTGGACAATTATCTCTTTCCATGGTAACTGAATTTTTTGTTAACTTACCTGATATATACAGCAAATTTTGTGAAGTTTAGTAGAACAGTTTTGAAGTTATGGCCCAGAAAAGCCTTCAAACGGACAGACAGATGCTTGCAAACATGCACTGAGCCACAATTAATATCTACCACAAAAGCATTTCACACGGAGTAATAACTTAGGTCATTGGTAATTATATAACTAGTCCTAGCTGAAATTAAAGAAAAGTTTAGTTTCTATTCCTGGGCTCTGTTTTTGATAATTTTATATCCATCTTATCTAGTTCCTTATCATTGTTTATGATTTTGGTTTCACAAAGGTCTGGGGTGACAAAAAATATGTTACCTTCTTCATTCCATAAAAATATCTGAAATAGTCCCTTAGCACTGTTTATTATTTTCTGTCTATACAGAAAGTTCATAGATTTGTACAATTCATAGCTGATGTACTTTTAAGCCTTTTAAATAACCATGCAGTTTACATAATAGAAACACGAATCAGGAGAATCAATCAAAACTGGGTGATTGTGGGTTCTATATTTTTTTAAAAGGGCAGTCTGTCCACCTGTTTTGTCCACTGTGTTGAGCTTCTTTAGGAAATCATATCAGTAAATTCTATCCCTGAAGAAGTGAAAATGCTGGCAGCTTTCTTTTGTTCATTATGATGTCCTACCATGGATGAGACAAAGACAATAGACATTTTCACCCTCACTGACAATTACAGGACATCGACTCTACTACCCGACAATATAAGAACAGAAACATGATACACCCTTGCATGAAATACAGACCAAAATTTCAGTGATCAATCTTTTTCAACATTATTGCTAAAAAGTCCCACAATGTAAAATCTAAGTATTTCCAAGAATTCTATGAGTCCCATTAGAATTCTCCAGGGTGTAGGACTTGCATGTTAATTTATTTTTGAAATTCTAGTCTTTTGGTGATGGATTACACCATGTATGAACTGGAATCAAAAAGCTGAAAATTATAAAACTATTACCCCATTGTCAAATAATTGGATTTTTTGTAGTTTCATGGAGTAAATTGTATTGATTGCATATATATGAAATTCCACATGTAAAATTTTCATGGGCCCTTATCTTTGGGAAAAGCAGTGTAAAAGAGACTGGAGCTTTGGATAAACACAGCCAGTCAATAAGCTTGAATGTTTTACCAGCGTCTTCTGCACTGCCAATTCATATGACCTTTTTGTAGGAAATCATATACTACTTCTAGCTAATCAAACATGAATGAAAATATTATTACATTGTATTTACTGATATAGAGTAACTTACCATTCTTCATCAAAATGATTTTTTTGTTACTGTGTTTGTGTTAATGTTGGCTTATAAAGAAAACCATGTAAATGACATCACATTTGGTGCACTACACTTCTCAGGGATTAACGGCAACACAAAATGGCTTTAGCTGCTCATGAAATAGAGAAAACTTTATAGTGTTGAAAGGAGTGGATTATACTGTTCAGACAGTAATAGGGTAGTTGTTCAGAGTACAGGTCGAGTTACTAGTCTTGATTTGTGGGAATTTCCCATTAGTGGAGCGTGTGACTAGAGACCAAAGGGATGCTAATTTGAACCCCACCAGGGCCAGGGTGTTTTCTATTACTCTTTCCTATTACAGATTTGGTGCCATTGACCACTCCAAGGGTAGAAGCTACAGAAGAATGATATGCTTCATTGTATATATTGAACCTGGGTTGTTGTTGTCTTTGGAGTTGAGACTTGGTTAATAGGAATTTCTGTTTAGTCAAGCAGTAGAGCATATGACTAGCGCCCGGTGGGTCACTAGTTTGAACCCAACAAGTGGCAGGCTGTTTTTCAGTCTATATGTAGTACGTAAGGCATTCATCTGATAAGATCATTAATGTCTACAGTAGGTTTACATGTTTGCATGACTACTAAGGCCGCCTAATTCACATGTCTGATTCACTTACTTAATATGCATACGTTTATAGCAACAAAAACGAACATGAATGAGTGCCATGTGTACATGTCTAAATATTTCGGACAGAATGTTCATTTGATGCATTTAACTCTTGCTCAGTCTAATCTTATATCGACACACGTTAATATGGTTCAAGCTGTATCCATAACCGTCTAAGTACGAATTCCCGTGCTTGACAGCTGCATCCTCTTGTCTTCCGATCATAATATGTCAAATCAAACGACCGACAGAAATCAGAGGAATGAAGGGGGTGGGTCATAGTCGATGATGAATTTATAAACAACACCATCATAAAATTAATACAAACATGTGTAACTGATGTTAGTATATGAAGAGTTGAAATGCTGACCACACATTTATCATTCAGTGATCGTTATTTACCTGGCTCTTTGGATGTCAACTGAACACGACACAAAACAGCTGCCATAGTGGAACATTTCCCAGAGTTCCCTTTAATTACTTCCGGTTTTAGTATTTTAAAGTTACCTCCCCTTTACTATAAAATTTAGTTTACTGTGCCGTCTTGGACGGAGTTTGCCGATTATAGATTTTTTCCACAATTATATGATTTGGGTCGTATCGCACACGCAATTTCTGGATTTTTGCTTAAATAAAAAGCTAACGTTGTTCTATCATTTTTGCTGTTAGTTTGTTATAGCTCTTTCACGCCAGTTTCAACAAATGACGGGGAACAGACACTGTTTAAGAGAAACGTCATAACGTCGTTTCCTGTGAGTTCGGACTTCACGTCACCTGTGTCGTGATCCTACCCAAACGATTATACGAAGTTTCCTCTCGATATTTTTGTCGATTCACCACGTGGTAAAATGCAAACATACAGTTTTCTTTCTTTTTTCTTTCCATTTTTATTCCTCAAATCAATATAAATATCAATGCACCGAGTATGAAGATATCGGGAAGATCGGAAATGATGTGTGCTTCCATATGTAATGCATCCTAGAACAGAAACATGTATGCATATGTTGGTGTATGATATGTGATGTAAGCCCGTGGTACAATAAACGAAAGAAATGGACAAATAATTAAATAACAGCAAACCGTAACATTCTGCGGAAATGAAAATAAAATCTTTCGTGATTTGGGATTGCATAGCAATAGCTTTTTCAATCGAAAGTTCTCGCATATTAAATGTCAAATACATAGTATATTCGGGTATTATGTATGCATGCTTTTAGTATTTCTATGTACTTAATCACTTTTTTTCTGTGTGAGAAAGGCAAATACAGGACATTACGCTTTTATCATCAAAACGGGCATAGTGATAAAGAATATCCTCAGCTATATTTCCAGACCCTATATTTGTTTACACATGTACCCAAAAGGGTAATTTTGCATATGTCCCATAAAAGTCGTGTGGGTGCAATAACTAGGCCTAAAGTGGGCGACATATAGACATGCGGACTTAAAATATGAACTTCCTGTAATATTATGATTGAATGTTGGTAATCCCGAGTACCATTGCCCCTATCTGACCGACATTGACGGCTCTGGTCAGAACTGAACACAAATATTTACATTCCTGGTAAACTGTTCACTGGAATATGGGCTTAGGTGGATAAGGACATCGGCGGATTCTTATTTACGGACACAACAATTAAGCTTGAATGAGTTTAATATGAGTTGATAGACTAACTGACACGTTCAGCTATTACTGTTACTATACGTTAGCTTATTTCGTACCGACTACGGATATTAAATATTGATCAGTTAATCTATAAGTATGTAGACTAAGTAACTCTATACCGCGAACGTCAGCATATGATATATATCGGTCGGTGTCTCCCACAGTAAATAAAAGGGTTGACTGTAACACATGTAAATGTAAGACATTAAACCGGCGGAACGGTTCACAAGCTTACAATTACCAGGCAGTTGGAGTGTAATCTGAAAACAATAAAATTGTAATATGATGTTGTACATAGTAACGAGGACGCCTGGATATGCTAGGTTTTCCGCCCGTCAACGTCGAGTCATTTCGAGGCGGGCTAGTAGGTTTCCTTGTAGCTGGTGGCTACCTCGCTGAACAACATACGGGGCGGGGATAGCCTGCGTATTTCATCCACTGCATCTCTCTCTCTCTCTCTCTCTCTCTCTCACACACACACACACAACACACACACCAATTGAATAATGATGTCAGAAATGCAATTGACCGAGGGAAATTCCGGACGTCCGAGACAATTCCCGTAAACCTGAAGATGATCAGCTCTTTACTACGTGAATTACACTACCATTTATAGTTTTAAAGTCTTGGGTATATTGATATAATACAATTAAGTTCTCTAATAAAGAAATTCCAAGTCTTGTATATATATTTATATATATCTTTAGATCAGTACACGTCCATACAATGCGAGTCAGGGAGTGGCGGACTATCACAATGTATTGTAGGAAACAATGAGTGAAACGTACTTAGAAATTCAATCCCTGTATGGATTATACTCCCACGTATGTCGAGTCCTTGTGGCTGACAATAATATCTAGTCAGAGTTTTACGTTAAGGTATAGTGTTATGTTTCAAAAATAGTCTCTAAAGTGTTCAGTGTTGTGCGGTTGGGTCACGTGGCATGTGCTTCAAGTTTGAAAAGCCTTCAGACAATTTTAAAATGAAAGAAAATCAATATTTTTCATCTGTAAAGGTTATCTACCGAATATACACGTTGTAAAACAATACACACATCTATAACAAACGTCAATAACAGGAAAATGAAGACACTTTTCCCGGCCGCCATTGTAACAGACAGATATGTTCACCATTCAGCCATTAAACTCTAACGAAATATTACAGAGATCTCGCGAAGGCAACTCGAGTATGTCCCCCGCCCCACCCAACCATATGTGTGTTACCCTTGATGTGTACAAGGATGCGTTCATCTGAATATTAAAAAGTTTAAACTACCCATCCTATACTGATGGCTATCGCGGGCAGGCGGGAAAAATTGAATACTCCAAATCGTTGAAATAGAAAAAAAGAAATAAAAACTGGAGTACATAATGTCATGTTTTATAAAAGATGTTAACTGTGTCGTGCCTAACCCTACACGTGTGGTTCGGTGGTATAAAACTTGAGAGAACCACATGTGGAGTTTGCCATTCTGGTAGACATTTCCCTTATGAGAAATTGTGATATCACATATTCAAAAGCAACAAGTGATGCGATCCATACGAATAAATGACATCACTTGAATCTTAATTCTACAATATAATTTTATAGTTCCTGTCGCGCTCATTGAGGTTTTTGTGTACAAACAAATTCATTTAAGGTACTGATAGAATTGACGATATCCCAAATTTGAATGGGGGGGGGGGGGGTTCTTTCCATCGGGTCAAGAAATATAACATATCAGATATCAGTGATACTGTTTATAAGTGTTTAAGATAGGCAGTAAATATATTGCTCTATTCTGAATGTTTCCTTAACTCAGCTGTGATAACTAACTGGTAAAGTGATGACCAGGTCAGCGTAGAGAAATTTACCGGTTACATGTATATAAAGAATCATTTTCCACTGCACCATGTAGGTATGTAAAAGTATCTTGTATCGAATAAATCCTGGTCCCAGGATAGTAAGGTCCTGGGAACAGACAATTGATGAGGTTCATGGATAATGTATAACCACAAACCATACGGTGCCTCATACACTACGTCGTTGTGTGAAAATTCATTGTTTAATTAATCATGTCACCTGTGCCATTGGCCGGTCCACAGAAATTTACCTACATGTTCACTACCACAGGAAAATTCCGTGACGTACAGTGTGTGTGTAAGAAATATACGATATTCACGGTTTTGTTTGTGATAAAGTCACAATTAATTTCACTCGTGAATTTCATCAGGCGTATTACACGACTGGGTAACCAGTGGTCCGACTTGGTACCACGGTCAAGGTAATTTACTATCTGACCTAGTTTACGTTGTTAAAAAATCCAATAGTAATCTGGTAGCGTGGATTTATAAAGCTCACTGGTGCCGTCCACGTGTACAGACGTCACATTTATAGATCTAATAAGATTAGTACAAGTTGTTGTCGAAGGCACCCCACGACGGTTTAATTCCCAGACAATATACTCGCTATACGACCTATTGTTTTTAATCTAACAGTGGTTGTACATGGTGTGATGGTGGTTCATGATGTCAATGGTTGTACATGGTGAGATGGTGGTTCAAAGTGTCAGTGGTTGTACATGGTGTGATGGTGGTTCATAGTGTCAGTGGTTGTACATGGTGTCAATGGTTGTACATGGTGAGATGGTGGTTCAAAGTGTCAGTGGTTGTACATGGTGTGATGGTGGTTCATGATGTCAGTGGTTGTACATGGTGTCAATGGTTGTACATGGTGAGATGGTGGTTCAAAGTGTCAGTGGTTGTACATGGTGTGATGGTGGTTCATAGTGTCGTTAGTTGTACATGATGTGATGGTGGTTCATAGTGTCGGTGGTTGTACATGATGTGATGGTGGTTCATAGTGTCGGTGGTTGTACATGGTGTGATGGTGGTTCATAGTGTCGGTGGTTGTACATGATGAGATGGTGGTTCATAGTGTCAGTGGTTGTACATGGTGTGATGGTGGTTCATAGTGTCGGTGGTTGTACATGGTGTGATGGTGGTTCATGATGTCAGTGGTTGTACATGGTGTCAATGGTTGTACATGGTGAGATGGTGGTTCAAAGTGTCAGTGGTTTTACATGGTGTGATGGTGGTTCATAGTGTCGTTAGTTGTACATGATGTGATGGTGGTTCATAGTGTCGGTGGTTGTACATGATGTGATGGTGGTTCATAGTGTCGGTGGTTGTACATGGTGTGATGGTGGTTCATAGTGTCGGTGGTTGTACATGATGAGATGGTGGTTCATAGTGTCAGTGGTTGTACATGGTGTGATGGTGGTTCATAGTGTCGGTGGTTGTTCATGGTGTGATGGTGGTTCATAGTGTCGGTGGTTGTACATGGTGTGATGGTGGTTCATAGTGTCAGTGGTTGTACATGGTGTGATGGTGGTTCATAGTGTCGGTGGTTGTACATGGTGTGATGGTTGTGCATGGTTGTGCATGGTGTGACAGTGATGCATCAGTGTTGTGGTACGTCGCGTGTTAATTAATCATGTCGCCTGTGTCATTGGCCGGTCCACAGAAATTTATCTACATGTTCACTACCACAGGAAAATTCCGTGACGTACAGTGTGTGTGTAAGAAATATATTCACGGTTTTGTTTGTGATAAAGTCACAATTAATTTCACTAGTGAATTTCATCAGGCGTATTACACGACTGGGTAACCAGTGGTCCGACTTGGTACCACGGTCAAGGTAATTTACTATCTGACCTAGTTTACGTTGTTAAAAAATCCAATAGTAATCTGGTAGCGTGGATTTTTAAAGCTCACTGGTGCCGTCCACGTGTACAAACGTCACATTTATAG